CCCCCCCCCCCCCCCCCCCCCCCCCCTGCGACGAGAGCAATCTCTCATGGACACCCACTGCCCCGAGTGGTGGCCTCCGCCTCCCTGCCCTCTTCGCCAACCTCTTCCTCTCCCTGTTCCTCCCCCTTGTCCTCCTTCTCTTCTTCAACCCCTTCACAGGGATGCCCCATCAGATGACACGGACGGTGAATCTGGAAGCACCCATCAAGCAGCAGGAGGCGCAGCGAAGGAAGTGCAAGGAGAGCGGCTACTTGATGGAGTGGTTCCATGGCCGCCGCATGCTTATGGAACTTATGCGCAAGACGACGATCCTTTCGCTACTCACAAATTCTTCGGTACGTGGCTTCCTCCTCCGCCCACTGCCGCATACGGTTCGCTCTTCAGTTGTGAAACCCACGAGGGAAATGAAAATTGCTGGAATCCAAGCTATTTGTGGTGGCTCATGGGCGAAATGTACATAGTGAGGATCGCAAAAAACTGTCCGAACTTGAAGACGCTTCATGTTGTAGCCATGAACAGCGCTTTCTCTGAGAGCGCCATGGCTGCCTTAGTCAATGGATGTACCGCGCTGACTGATCTGTCTCTTTCTGCAGTTTATCCCGCCACGGTGGAGGAGTCTGGGGAGTCTGCTCTGCGTGTCCTGTCTGGTTGCCATCAATTGCAGAGCCTGCGTCTCTCCGGATTCTCTCCTTCCGCCGCCGATGATGCTCTACAAGATGGGTGTTGCCCTCTTTTATCGTCTTTGACGCTGCACCGAAACGAGTTGCTGAGAGAGGACAAGTATGCAAGGTCACTTAGCGTATCGACTTTCTCTTTCCAGTGTGCGAGACGAAGGAACCTGACGTCGCTGTCCGTAAGATGTAGCCTATACTTCGGAGACGATCAGCTGGAGGCTGCCGTGACAGAGTGTGTGGGCTTAAGGAAGCTCGATGTGAGCAACACACGCGTCTCCGACAGGGGGATAATTGCAGCAGTGCGGGCCTGCTCTGACCTTCGCTCTCTGACAGCCTCTCGTTGCCGATACGTCACTGATGCGTCAGTACGTGCTGTGGCCTTCGAAGGGGGGCGGCAGTTGCACGAGCTGCGTTTCGACGAGACCGGGGTCACGCATCACGCCTTGTCTTTTCTTGCCAGGGGCCCTAAGTGCAGATTAGGGCTTGTCACGCTTCTGCTCTATGGGTCTTATGTCAGCGGAGAACCATCCACCTACCCTCGCTTGGAATCCTTGACAAGTTTGGATCTCCTTCTTGATCGATATGCACATCTTCAGGAGGTGGGTTTGCGCATCTTTGATGCCTTCGTGGAGACGGAACAAGTGGAGGGCATGGAACGGATGTGGGGACAGGCAGTCTTGCTAAGAAACGCCCGGAGTCTGAAACCCGCACGGGAGCTTTGCAGCGCTTTGAAGAGTGCCACAACGAAGAATAAGGGATACTATCGGGATCTGGAAGAGCCTCGGCTTCCCGACTGGCAGTGTTGTGGGCCTTTTTTGCGTACCCTCTCTCGAGTCGGGCCGTCCTTACGCCGGCTTCATCTCTTTGCAGACCCCAGAGCACTCTTCGGCGATTTCGAGGAAGAATTTCTTGCTTTCCTCGGTGCGTGCCCCTGTCTGCTATCCCTCCGATTGACTGGAATCACTCAGGTCAGCGATGCCATCCTGTACAAGCTGGGCGATGTGTGTCCTTTGCTTGAGCAGCTTGCCATCGCTGGTTCTCATATACCTTTCTCCCAGGGTGTCGAGCACCTCCATGTCACAAGCTGCAGACTCAGATATTTCGAGTACTGGCCCGACTATTACAGGGATGTTCTGTTGGGCGAAGCTGACAAACGTATAACGTACAAAAGGACGCAATGGTGGTAGTGCCCAAATAGCAGAGATACCCTGGACTGGATTACTCATTTTTCGCCCTGGATTACGAAGATCAACGGTCAGAAATAAACAATAATAAGGGGCTAGTGGGAGCTGGCCGATAGGGCCTGAAAAGAAAGAATGCATCTTGAAGGGGGGCCGCGCGAAAGAGTGCGTTAACGGTGTGGCGATAGTGGCTGTGGCGGTGCCCAGTCGTTGGTTCGCGGCCGAGCGGAGCCCAGCGTCTAACCCTAGAAGTTTATCGCTTTAGGAGGTGCTTACCCTGCCAGGCACCATAGCTGTGTGAGAGGTATGGCGGAAAGTGTTCAAGGGTAACCTTAGGCTAGCTCTTGAGGGGGAAAGAAAGAATGCATCTTGAAGGGGGGCCGCGCGGAAGTGTGCATTAACAGTGTGGCGATAGTGGCTGTGGCGGGTCGTTGGTTCGCGGCCGAGTGGAGCCCAGAGTCTGTGCTCCTTTTCTATGTTGGCTTAGGCACACGTCACCACACGTCACCAGTCTCCTTTGCCAGTACAGGTTGCGCACAAGACCAAGACAGACTGGCTTCAGTGCTCTTTATAATGCTTTAACACTCTCTGCGTCCCTTTGGTCCTTCATTATGCTGCTTCTACACGTGGAAAGTCAGCATTGGGGCTGAGTTTGGGACAAAATGCATCGAGTTTGGCCTGATAGAAAGAACGAGGGACACAGATTACTGTCCAGACAGTGACTAGGGTAGGACGCGTGTATGTGGTTTGTCAATGAACATATGCCCCCTTGGCAACTTCAAGGTTTCTTGGTCATTCAGATGGCTTCGACAGAGTGGAGGAGCAGTTTTGGTGTGGATCAGGGTGAATCCTATGAGATATCAGCAGCGGCGCTACCACGAGCAGTGAGAGTGTAATGGGTGGCGGTGGGAACGCTACTGGTTAGGTGGCACGAGAGAACCGGTGAAGAGCAACCTTGAGTTGNTTGAGTTGTACCCATTGTGTGTGATCACTCCACTCACAAAGATCCAAGGGTGGCGCTACCACGAGCAGTGAGAGTGTAATGGGTGGCGGTGGGAATGCTACTGGTTAGGTGGCACGAGAGAACCGGTGAAGAGAAAACTTGAGTTGTACCCATTGTGATCACTCCACTCTCAAAGATCCAAGGGTGCATGGTGGGAAACCCGTCATGGCAACTCAGGCTCTTTGCAGTCTGTTGGACAATACAGCAAGGACAAGGGTGAAGCTCTGAAGAGTTGATGGGATTATCATTCGGGGGATAAACTAGTTGCTGCATATTACTTGTTTAAATTTGTGTCTACTATTTTCTGAAGTGGTGACTCGGTTGGTAGCCTAGGGATTGCGTATAGGTGTTGTGGTCTTAGTGGGTTAAAAAGCGATAACCGGATAAGGTAGTATGGGTAGCGGCACTACGGAGGCGGTGTGAGTGCTACCGTCACTGGTGGGAACACTCCTTGTTTGTAGTTCGCATAAATACGGTAGGAAGCAAACTTGGACTGTATCCATAGTGGTCTTGGTCCGTTGATTAATATTGTCACTGAAGATCCAAGGGTGCGTGGTGGGAAACCTGTCTAGGCGGTTCAGGCTTCCTTGTGTTAACAGATCCGTACTCGGTCTCTTTTCTGTAAGATCTTGAAGTGAAGCTGGGTAGGCCTCCCAGATAGAGGAGCAGGACACCTGGTATTATAGGAATTCGTTTGAATTTCTTTAGTCGGTCTTGGCTGTTTTGCTCCCCTTATTCTGGATTCCTAAAAGTTTTGCTCCAGTTGTGCACTTTCTTTGTAGTTGCAGAGACCATGGGATCCTGGAGCCGGTTTCCAGCACAAGCTTCACTACCGGGTTGAGATGTTGAGGGATTCCCGGTCTCATTCAATTACTTTTATAATATAAGCTGCGACTTAAAAAAAAAAACAAAAAAAAACAAGCATCTTCCATAGAACATGGTAAGAGAGGCATCCTTTGCTATTCATAGTAGCAGATGCATCTGGCCATTCTCTGGGGGGCAGATGCACTCGTACCTTTTTTATGTTTTTTTTTGTCAGCTGGATCATATCATAATAAGTTAAGTTAGGACTTCTTTTAACTTGCTTGAAAGTATCAGGTTCCAAGGAGTTTGGGCGTCGTTAGACACTCCTTACGAGTTCCTTGCGCCACAAGGAATTTTCCTTGTGGCTCGTAAGGGAATTTGGGATCTTCGTTCCACCTGTCCTAGGGGACGTCGCCCGAGGACATTTCCTGAGACTGATGTCAGAAAAAAAAAAGAAAAGAAAAAAAAAACAGTTGTGCTTCAGGCCTTCAGCCAATAGGGTGCCACTGCCGCCACGATCCAGATTCTCAGCTGTAATGTGTATCTACCCGTGTGCCCTCTCCTCTCCGTGAAACACGGATTCCTTCTGCCCAAGGGACCTCGCCAGGTCCCTTGGGCACAAGGAAGAAATGGCTGGGGCCACAAGGATGCCACAAGGAATTTTCCTTGTGGCTTTTTCACATTTCTTTTTCAATTTCGTCCCCAAGGACAGGTGGAACGAGCGCGTCCTTGTGCATTTCACGTCCCCAAGGAGTGTCTAATGAGGCCCTTTGTCTGATTTGATTCAGTGCATAAGGTTTTTGATATATGTTGCAGGTTTGGGAATCCTTTTTTTTTTTTTTTTTTTTTTTTCCTGAATTGGTAATGCTATTCACGTGCATTGGGCCTTCAGTAGTTCTTTTTGGGAGAAAAGTAAATTACAGCACAGTCCCCGTTTGAGTTTGGATTCTTGGAAAATGCACTTCAGGCAAAAAAAGGGGCAGTAATGTTGAATTTGAACAACCTACGTTTCGGGTCCGGTGGGGTCATGTGGGGATGTGTTGTGCTGGAGGGATTGCCAGAAGTGCATTTTCAAACTGTTTTCATCACTGCACCGAAGTTAGGGCTTTTTTTTTTTCCGTCATTTGCTACAGGGGTGAGGCTCTGCCTGTAGTTAGGGTTTGGGGCGGGTTGGCGCTTGCTATCTGGTGTGCGTTGGTCACTGGACTCAAGTGGGCCTCTTACTTTTTTTTTTTGGTTGAAAAGTACAACTACATTTTCCCATGTCGGCGTCGGGTGGTACTCTGATCTCTTAGGAGGCGAAAAAGAATCAACGGATGAGATTTGAACCACCAGTACCTCGCCCAGCTATCAAGTCCGAGCGGGACCGGTAGCCCGTTCATTGCCGAGCCTCAGACTTTATTACCGAGCGAGCCTCGATGTACCGGTAGTCTATGTAACCCCAGCGGCCGCGGACATGGCGGTCATGACCGCGGCCGCAGTCAGGGCCGCGGGGACGCGGTCATGATCACAGCGGTTGCCGTTGCAATCGGCCCACTGCGGCCGAGGGGAGGTGGGTCCTGCCAATCGGGGTCGGGATTCCGGCGGCGGGACCCGGGACCCACACCCCCGTAATGAACAAAACAAAAAGAATAAAAAACGGCGGGGTCCAAATATGGGGGGTTTAGAGGGGGGACGGAAAAAAAAAAGACCCACCATTTTTTTTCTTTTTTTTCTATCTATTGAAAAACCCGCTGTTCTTTTTTTTCACTTTTTTTTTTTTTTTAATTGATTGATTGATTGATTGATGGATGGATGGATGGATGGATGGATGGACGGATTGATTGGTTGTTTGATTGGTTGATTTTTTTCTTGGATTGATTTATTGAATGATTGATTGCTTGTTGGATTGGTTGATTGGCTGATTGATTGATTGATTGATTGATTGATTGATTGATTG